GCTGAGGCTGGCCTCAGTCTGCGATCCTCCTGCCTCAGCCTGCTTAGCATGTTTTTTTTTTTCTTTTCCTTTTTATTTCTTTTTTTTTTTTTTTAGTCCCAGGGTACTTTACTATCAAGTCACATCCCCAGCCCTTTTAATTTTGAGATGGGGCATCACTAAGTGGCTGAGGCTGGCCTCAGTCTGCGATCCTCCTGCCTCAGCCTTCTTAGTGGCTGGGATTGAGATGGCAGGTATACACCACTGCGCCTGCACGCTGGCTTTTTCTGTCATTCTGTGTGTGTGTGTGTGTGTGTGTGTGTGTGTGTGTGTGTGTGTGTTTTACTGGTGATTGAACTCAAGGTTTTATACATGGTAAGTGCTCTACCACTAAACTCTGTCCCCAGTCCTTTTTTTAAGTTGTCAGTGGACATTTATTCGTATGTGGGGCTGAGAATCGAACGTCACACATGCTAGACAAACGCTCCACCACTGAACCACAACCCATCCCCCCTCCCCACAGTCCTTTTTATTTTGAGACAGGGTCTCACTAAGTGGCAGAGGCTGCCTTGGACTTTCCATCCTCCTGCCCCAGCCTCTGGGTCCCTGAGATTTACAAGATGGTACCACCACGCCAGGCTGCTCATCCCTTTCTATTTTGAGGTCTAGAAGTATTAGACCAACTTTTATTTTAAGACTCACTCCCCCCACCCTTTTCTTTTCTTTTCTTTTTTAAACCAGGGATTGAACTCAGGGCACTCAACCCCTGGGCCACATCCCCAGCCCTCTTTTTGTAATTTATTTAGAGACAGGGTCTTAGGGCCTCACTAAGTTGCTGAGGCTTGTTTTGAACTCACGGTCCTCCTGCCTCAGTCTCCAGAGCTGCGGGGATTACAGGCCTGCGCCGCCACACCCAGCCTCTGAATATTTTGACGAACTCAGCCAAAGGTGCCCATGTGGTCTGCTTTCCGAGGTACTGCAGTAGAAATTTTATCCAATGCTTTTGCCTGACAAAGATTCCAGCCTTTCTGCCCACCGCCGGGCAGCAGTCTGGGCTGCACATTTTGGTTACATAAGTGTACTTCTGGTACCAGGGCCTATCAGTCAGGGTGGGCCAGAGGTGACATAGTAACAAAGGAACTCCCAAATAACAGTGGATTAACACAACAAAGACTTCTTTCTTCCTGAGACTTACTCTGTGACCCTCCAGAGCAGCTGTCCTCCACTTGGTGACTCAGCAGTCCTGTCTCCTTCCCTCTTCTAATCCACCATGTCCACACGTAGCCCCCACAATGGTCATGGCCAGAGGAGAGAGAACGTGTGTATGTGTGTGTGTGTGTGTGTGTGTGTGTGTGGTTCTGGCTCTTAAATGCTGAAGACGTTTCACTCTTTATTTAATTGCAGTACACTGAACTATATATCTCCAGGCCTTTTATTTTTTATTTTGAGACAGGGTCTCACTAAGTTGCTCAGGCTGGCCTCCAACCAGTCATTTTCCTGCCTCAGGCTCCCAGGTGGTTTACAACTGTAGAAGTTTTAAAAGATGGCTTCCAAATTATTTGACATTTTTTCCTGCGTAAGGGTAGGGAGCACATCTCCTCCTCTTGAATGTAGCTTCAGTGACCAACAGACTAGGGTAGAAGCCTCAGGAATGGTGGCACACACCTGGAGTCCTAGTTGTTGGGAGGCTGAGGCAGGAGGATCGCGAGTTCAAAGCCAGCCTCAGCCAAAGTGAGGCACTAAGCAACTCAGTGAGACCCTGTCTCTAAATAAAATACAAAATAGGGCTGGGGATGGGGCTCAGTGGGTTAAGTGCCCCTGAGTTCATTCCCTGGTACCAAAAAAAGGCAGGAATCTCACTGGGCAAGAGTTCCAGGAGGTTTTCCAAGGGGGCAATGGGACCTCGCCGCGCCTGGGTGGGCTTCTTGACTTGCATCACTGAAAATAACTTTCGGAGTGTTGAAAGCAAGGCCCAAGCAAAGACGTATTAAGGGACAGCAAAACAAAGGCACGCACACCCGAGAGGCAGGCAGCCGGCGCGGCCACCTCTCCAAGAAGAGATGACGGCGACACTCCCAGGGTTGAGCTCCTGACTATATATAGGATTTTTCTAAGAAGAAAAGTTTAGGTTTCCAGGCAAACTTTTGTGAAAGTCAAATCCCATGTCAATCATTTGCTATTTGGGGTTCATAATGTTTCTTTCTGGTTAAACTCTCTAGCAAGAAATCAGCTGGGGGACATTGTGTCGCTCTTTGACATTTACATTGGTTGTTTCTGTTCTGATTGATCCAGTCCAAGCGTTCGCTGGAGGTTTTGTTCATCTAACTAGAGACAAGCAGAGGATGACTGAGGTGTGGGCTGAGCTCACAGCCCACAGCCATCACCCACTTGCCAGCGGCGTGACTGAGCCATCTTGGAAGAGGATCTGGCACGTCCCAGATGAAGCCACCCAGCTACTGCCAGGTGGAGTGTCTGGGGCCTTCCTGCAGAGGCCTGCCCAAGTTGCAGGTTTGTGAACAAAATAACGATTGTCATAGTCTCAAGTCAGGTGTTTTAGAGTAGTTTGATATGTAGTAGTAACAACTGGAATAAATGCTTTGGCCCAGAAATGACCTGCATTGTAGCTTACCGGTTCTGACCAGTAAGCCACATGGGTTTCCTAACTGTGAAGGGTTGGGAGATATATGTGGAGAACATAGAAATTTGGATAGCGGTTTATGTCCATCACAGTGTCTGAATTGACCTTTGAGGGCTGGGGTGTGGCTCAGTGGTATAGTATGTGTCTAGCATGCATGAGGCCTGGTTTTCACCCCCAGACTGGAAATGAAAAAATTAAAAAAAGCTTTGATAATGTGACCTACAAGCAGAGATCTGAGTAAAGCAGGAAGCTAGCTATGAGCTGGGCATCATGGCACATGCCTATAATCCCAGCCACTTGGAAGGCTGAGGTAGGAGGATCATAAATTGGAGGCCAGCTGGGGCAACTTAGTGAGACCCCATCTCAAAATAGAAGATTAAAAAGGCTAGGAGTGTAGCTCATTGTGCAAGGCCCTGAGTTCAATCTCCAGCATCGCACACACAAACACAAAGACAAAAACATAAACACAAGATTCCATTGCTGTTATGATTTGGGTCTTAAATGTCTCCCAAAAGCTCATATATTGAAGGTTTGGTTCCCCCGGGCAACAGTTTTTAGAGGTGCAGACTTTGGGAGGTGGCTGGGTCATGATGGCTCTAACCTTAGGAACATCATTATTAATAGATTAATCCATTTATGACTTCATAGCTTAATGGGCTTGGGGGAAGGGACTCTGTTATAAATTCCCTCTCTCTCTCTCCCCCCCCCCTCTCTCTCTCTCTCTCTCTCTCTCTCTCTCTCTAATTTCTGGCTGCCAGTAGGTGATCAGCTTTCCTCTACCACACGTTTCTGCCATGATGCTCTGCTTACCACAGGCCCACAAGCAACTGGGCCAAGCCACCATGAACTGAAACCTTTGAAGCTCTGAGCCAAAATAAACATTTCCTCTTTTCAAGTTGTTTATCTCAGGTATTTTGTCACAGTAACAGAAAACTGACTTAACACAGTCACTGCCATCATCAGATTATTATTTTTTATATGTATTTTTTTTTTTTAGTTTTAGGTGGACACAGTATCTTTATTTTACATTTATGTGGTGCTGAGGATTGAACTCAGTGCCTCATGCATGCTAGGAGAGCACTCTACCACTGAGCCACAACCCCAGCCTATCGTATTATTGTTGGTTGTTCCGACTCTTCACTTCCTTTTTTGAAAACTTTAGTAAAACGCACATAATATAAAATGTGCCATTCATGACTTTTAGTACATTCACAATACTATATAACCATCACCACTATCTAGTTCCAAAATATTTTCATTACTCCAAAAGGAAACTTCTTGTATAGGAATCCCTCCTTCCTTCCCCACAGCCCCTGACAACCGCTGATGCGTTCTGACCGTAGATTTTCCAACTCTGGATATTTCTTGTAAATAGAGTCATATCAAATGTGAACTTGGTTGTTTGAGGCAGGGTCTCACTGTGTTGCCCAGACTGACCTGGAGCCCTGGACTCACTTGATCCTCCTGCATCCTGAGTAGCATCCAGCCAGGACTTTTGGATCTGCTTTACCACCCTCTTCAAGTCTCCAGCTGAACTAGAAACTTCTTCTTTCTTTCTTTTTCTTTTTTGTACCATGGATTCAACCCAGGGGTGCTCAACTACTGAGCTGCTGAGTCCCTTTTATTTTGAGACAAGGTCTTGCTAAACTGCTGAGGCTGCCTCTTTGATCCAGCCTCCCCAGCCTCTGGGATTAAAGGGTGCAGCCCTGAGCCTGGCCTTCCTGTTTCCTAATGGACGGTGTCTTGTTTTGCTCAGCAGACAATTCACCAGGTGTCACCTGGTTCACCTTCCTGCCTACTCACCCGTGAACCTGCTGTGGTAATAACAACATTCCAGGAGTTCCCACTCTGCTCCGAGTGCTTCGAGCGTCTCACTCTATGCACATCTCATTTCACTCTTCCGGCCTCTTTGAGAGGCCGATACTTACATAATCTCTGTTACAGTCAGGGAAACAGAGTCTCAGAGTGGCCGAGTCACGTCAGCAGCAAGTGGCCGAATCAAGATTCAAACCTGGATCTGTTGACGCCCGAGTTCAGCTCAAAATCACTGAGCTGCATCTCTTGCCAACGACCACCTCCCTCCTTCCAGGGCCTCAGAGGACAGGTGATCCCTGCTTTAGCTCCAGGTTGGCCCATTTGCCTGCACGGTCGACCTCGTTTCTTCCCATCTCCTCCAGAACCTCATTCACCCTTCTCTGATAACCACTGGCTGCCTCAGGTCCTCCCCACACATTTTCCCAAACTACTCCACAAAACAGCTCCCAGCTCCTGGCTTTCCTGTCCCCTCACCTCCCAAACCACTGACTGCAGTCTGGCTGCCTCCCCTCCACACCCTACACCCTCCTGATCCCCACTGATCTTGGCGCCAAATCTAAGTCCTCTTGTCCTCCTCCGCGCCTCTACCGCACTTGGCAGGCTGAGCAGGCCCTCCTTGGAAGTGTCTCCTTGGTTTCTGTGACACAGAGCGCCCCACCCTTTCAGATGCTGCTCCCCCCACCCTCTGCGGCTCTCTGGATGCTTCTCTGGCTCTCCGCCTCTCCTGATCTCTTCAAATGATATGACCCTTTTTAAACAGGTCCAAAATGTCTCCCATTGAGTAATAAGTCTATGTCCCTTCCCTTTGAATCTGGCCCAACCTTAGTGACGGCCCAAATGACAGACCACCATAGACCAGGCTCCATTCCATGGTGACTGCTGAAGCTGGGTCACAAGGGCAATGTGGCCTGGCTCACTGGAGCCCTGAACCAGGGTGGGAGAAGTTTCACTGCCTGAGGCCACCATGCTGTGCAGAAACAAATCAGCTCCTGCAGGGAGACCTCCTGGAGAGGCCTCCCCCCACTATAAAAGAAAAGAGAGAGAGATGCTCGGCCACCCCCAGATGCTCCAGCTGCTGGCTGCTCCAGCTCTTACCACAAAAGCGACCCCAAAGCTGAACCACCCAGATGAACCCTCCTCACACTCCTGACCCACAAAAACCGTGAAAGATGATGGAATGGTAGCCTCTGGTGTGATCTGTTCACCGTCTTGTAACCAGAACAGAGCCGTTTGCTCCCGCCACTATATTAGGGGCGACTTAAGCAACAAAAATCCATTTCCCAGTTTGTCTGGCTGCGAAGTCCAAGATGAAGGTGCCAGCAGATTCACCTGCTGCCAGGTGAGGGCCTGCCTCCTGATTGGCAGACAGCCCTCTTCTGCGGGTAGCAGGGAGTCAGGGAGCAGAGGGAGAAGCAGGCTCGGTCAGCAGGGGCTCCAATGACTCTCAAAGAGCCCACTTCCAAATGTCACCATATTAGGACTTCAGTCCATAGCAGAGGGGTGCCTGGGTCTGACCGAGGTCCCTTCCTTTTGTTTCCCTGCAGTTCATTTTACCCCCTGATCAGGTCACATTTCCTCTTTTTTTTTTTTTGTTAATATTTTTTTAGTTGTAGATGGACACAATACCTTTATTTTATTTGTTTATTTTTATGTGGTGCTGAGGATCAAACCCAGGGCCTCCCACATGCTAGGCAAGCGCTCTACCACTGAGCCTCAGCCTCAGCCCACATTCCACTCTCTTGACAACCTTCCATGGCTCTACAGTACCCTCAGATTGTAGTCCAAATTTTTTCCCTCCAGGGCTTGAAACCCACAGTCTCACTTCTGCCTGCATCTACAGTCCAGAGTGCGCGCACACACACACACACACACACACACACACAATGAGTAAGTCCTTCAGTACAAAGCTTTTAAACACATAATGAACATCAAATGTTGCGACTATTATTAGTTTGTGTTCAGTAAATATTTATTGAGCTGTCTATTCCATGCCAAGCACTATGGGAGGCTCAGAGATACTGTAGTGAACAAGAAAGATGTGATCCTACCCTTGAAGGGCTCATTCATTGCCGTTCCCCTGTCCTCAGGCACACAGAGAGACAATGCATGCTCACGGACATCTAGGCATGTTCCTGCAATGGTGCCTGATGAAGTTCAGGCAGGTACCATGACTGTCCCAAGACCACACACCAAATGTGGGACTTTCCCAAGACCACACAGCAAATGCTTGAGCACATAACAAGGCCTGAAGTTGATGCAGCTGTCTGGGAGGTGGCAGCTGGCACACACTGCCCAGGGCAGAACCAAGTCTGGTTGGGAGAGAGGGCGGGGCTCCCTGCCCTTACTGGCTCCTTCCGGAGGGGAAAGGGCGAGTGGCCTCTCTCCAAACACCTCCTCCCCACCTCTAGCTCCTCTAGGCGGGATGGAGCTCCAGCTCCATCCAAGTCAGAGGGACTGATCCTTAGCCGGGGGGTGGAGACTCAAAGAGGAACAGAGGCCAAGCACAGGGGCACTGTCTGTAATCCCAGCAACTCCAAGGCTGGGGGAGAAAAACGCAACTTCAAGACCAGCCTGGGCGACTTAGGGAGAACCTGCCTCAAAGCAAAAAGTAAAAAAGGCTGGGGATGTGGCTTTAGGGGTTATGCGTCCCTGAGTTCAATCCCCAGTACCAAAAAATAAATAAATAAATAAGAAAAAAGAAAATAGGATGGGAGTGTATGCAGAGCAACGGTAGGGTACCCCCGGTTCGATTCCCAGGAGCGGGGGCGGGTTGGGGAGAATGGAAGGAAACCACGGGATTCCACGAGAGGTGAGGACTCCTGAGAGCAGGGACTCCGGTGCCCCTGGGAGGGAGGTGCCCAGGGAGAGAGGCGGGGCTCAAGGAGGGAGAGCGCGAGATGGGAGGGGGCGAAGGAAGTGGGGTCAGCCAGGAGATGCAGGGTTCTCCACTCCGGTGGGGACCCAGAGGAGGCACTGAAGAGACGGAGACTCCGTGATGGGTCTTCAGTGAGAAGAGTGGGCAGCTGAGGAGTGATGGGAGCTCAGATGAGGAGTCCGAGGGACCGCAGGAGGGGCCGAGGTCCAGGCAGGCGGTGGGCTCTGCAGAAGGAGCCTGGGGTCTGAGGGAGAAGGGAACTGGGAAGGGTTCAGGGCTTCGGGGAGCTTCCAGCAGCCGCAATCTGCAGACCCAGCCCCTAGGGCGGGCCGGCGCCCCCCCTCCTCTTTCTGCCCCCGTACCCCCCCCCCCGCCCCCCGCCCCCAGCCCCGGACTGCGGCGGCGCACGCGCGGACCAGACCCGCTTTGGCTCTGCTTGTCTCCAGCTCCTGTTGGCTCGGCGGAGACTGCTGGTGGATAGGTGAGCTCAGCCCCTGCTCCATTAGCACCGACCCCTATTCGGCCGTCTCCCGGGTTCCAGAGAACCTCTCCCTCTACCCGCATCCTCAGCCCGGCCGCATCTGGCTGGGTAGGACCGACATGTGCGCCCTGGTCTTGAGCTTCGGGAGGTGGGGGTCCCAGGGAAGTATCTGGGGGCAGACAGCAGGAGCTCCATCACGCCCCCACACCCCAGGGTCGGTGACTGGGCGGAGGCTTCAATGGCCAAGATCGCCCCCCAACCTCCCTCCAAAAACCCATTCCTACTCCATTCTGCCTCAGTTTCCCTCTAAGGGAAAGGACGCAGCTAATTTCACCCAGGGGAAGGGTGATCGAGTCCGAAAGATCGATGCTGGGGGGGGGCTGATTTCCCCAGCCACCCCTCCAGGGGGTGCCCCTGATAACCTCCGGGGCAGTGTAGGGTGCTGGAGTGGGCGGGTCTGGGGGGTCTGGGAAGGGGAACTGAATAGGGCCGTCAAGATGCGACAGATTCCATCCATCTTCAGGCCCTCAGACTTGTCACCTCCGTGTACGTTTCCCTTCCCTCGCCGCCTCCTCCGCAGTCTCCCCACCCCCGCCCTCGGCCAACGCAGCCCCCTCCTCTTCCCGCGGCGTTCCCACCAGTTCTTCCCCGCTGCTGGCTGGGGACACCTCCCTAGCGGTTCCCATGGCAACCCCGGAGGATCCTCAGCCTCCTTTCCCTCCCA